TGCACTTAAACTCAATTTCCTTACAAAACCGTGTAAAAGTACTTGTGCAAAACGTCAAAAATCGTCAAAATTTGCCAACTTTTGACACAAAAATTAACAATTTTGTAAAAATAGCGCGTCATAGCCGCTTTTATGCTACACTTAAACTCAATTTCCTCACAAAACCGTGTAAAATTTCTTGTGCAAAACGTCAAAAATCGTCAAAATTTGCCTATTTTTGAGCAATTTTGTGAAGAAAGCGCGTCATAGCCGCCTCAGACCTATCCTAAAAACCAATTTCGGTACGAGTTCGTGTAAAATTGCTCATGCAAGACGACAAAAAGCGTTCCGGAAGAGTAATACTTACCTCGATTAAAATGGGAAAATTCGCTTGTCACTCTTGTTTGGTGGTGTTTTCACGACTGGCGCGTGATGGAGCGATTTTATGAACATTTCCAACACCTGTAGAGACACGCAGCCCAAGTACCATCTTTGTCTTTTCGAAATCATCTTGGTCGACACGCTAACCCACTCTCTGCATTACATTTATCCATTTACGATGAGCTTTTGTCACGTACAAAACTCATTATTTTGGGACTCGTTGCGAGAATTTACGAGGGAAATTGTGGCGGTTTTCAAGCTATTATCATTTATTTAATTTCGTAATAGGCTATTAAACTGTTTTAATTTTGATGGGGAAGAAGAAAACGACTAAATTTAATAGATTTTGAGAAGAATTTATTCGGTTTAGGGAGAAAAAAAATAAGCGAAATAATAAACACAATAAAAATAAGAAAAAAATGTTTTATTTTTCTATTTCCGATTCTATTAGTTTTTGTCTTTTTTACCGTCTCTCTATTATCTCGTTCCCTTATTCATTGTCTTTCTATTTTTTTTCTATTTCCACTCGTGTTTTTCTACATTTATTAATTTTTTAATTTTTTGATTCTCCTACATTTCCATTCTATTATATTCTGTTCTATTTTTTAATATTTTTCATTCTTACTTTTTTCTCTTTTTCTTTTTAGTTTCTATTTATATTTGATTTTCATATTTATTGTTTCTCATTTTGTCATAGTTTTTCAATCTGTGATTTTTTTGTTTTTCCCTAAATTTATCTTTTTTTTTTGTTTCTATTCTGGTTTTTTTCTTATATTTTTTTCTTCTCTGCATTACAAAACAGAAACAAAATAAAACTGGTTTAAAAAAAAGTATAACGCAACCTAAATGTTCAAAAAATTATTGGTATGACAAAAATTTTCAAAATTTGACGCCAAATTAAAAAAAATTTGACACTAAAATTGACAATTTTGTAACTAAAGCGAGTCATAGACACATCTAAACTACACCCAAATCCAAATCCCTGAAAAATTACTAGTGCAAAATGTCAAAAATTGTCAAAATTTGACTTTCGATTATAGAAAAATTGACAATTTTGTAAAATTAGGCCCCAAAATCGGATTTCAACTACACCAAAATCCAATTTCTTTTTAAATTTCTGTCAAATTATTGAAAGATGTCAAAAACTGTCAAAATTTGTCACTAACAATTTTGTAAAATCAACACCTCTAAAATATACACTAAAATTAATTTTTTTTTAATTCAAAAAAAAATTACTGGTGGAAGACGTCAAAAATCGTCAAACTTGTCAAATTTTTGACAAAAATTGACAATTTGTCATAGCCGTCTACTACTATATTAAAATTCAAGTTCTTTTTGAAATTGCAAGTGCAAACTCAAAAATTGATAAAATTTGACATCCGCGTAAAAAAAATTGACACAAAACTTGACAATTTTGTAAAGTTAAAGCTTCATAGTCGCTTTTACACTACTAAAATTTCTCTTCTCTTTTTGAATATTTTTTTCTGTCTTTCTTACTTTCTTCTCTCGTCTTGTTCTTTCTTTTTAGTTACTATTTTTATTTGATTTTGATCTTGATTTTTTATTTTGCCAAATTTTTCAATCTCTTTTCCCCCTAAATTTATCTTTTTTTGTTTCTATACTGGTTTTTTCTTGTATTTTTTTCTTCTCTGCATAATTTTTTTCAAACAAAACAGAAACAAAGTAATAAAATTAGTTTGAAAAAGAATATAACGCAACCTAGTGGCTTTAAACTGAATTTCCTCAAATGTTTGAAAAATTATTGGTATGATCAAAAATTTTCAAAATTTGACGACAAATTAAAAAAAATTGTCACAAAAATTGACAATTTTGTAACTAAAGCGAGTCATAGACGCCTCTAAACTATACCCAAATGAAAAATTACTAGTAAAAAATGTCAAAAATGTCAAAATTTGACTTTCGATTATAGAGAAATTGACAATTTTGTAAAATTAGGCCCCAAAATCGGTTTTAAACTACACCAAAATCCAATTTCTTCTTAAATTCCTGTCAAATTATTGATAGAAGAGAAAAACTGTCAAAATTTGTCACTCGTTTGCAAAAAAATTGACAATTTTGTAAAATTAACGCAACATGGCCGCCTCTAAAATATACACAAAAATCCATTTTTTTTATAAATTCAAAAAAAATTACTGGTGGAAGGCGTCAAAAATAACGATTTTTTAATAAATCCGTGAAAAATTACTAGTGTAAAATGTCAAAAATCCTCAAAATTTGAAACGCAATTATAAGAAAAATTGTCAATTTTTTAATTCTTAATATTTTTAATATTTTGATGTGTTTTAATGTACAATTAGACGCCAAAACACACTTTAAACTACACTAAAATCCAATTTATTTTTTAATTCCTGTGAAATTATTCATAGAAAATGTCAAAAACTAAAAATTTGTCACTCGTTTGAAGAAAAATTGACAATTTTGTAAAATTAGTGCGACTTGGCCGCCTCTAGACTATAACTAAATTCATTTTTTATTAATTAAAAAAATATTGGTGCAAGACGTCCACGTCAAATATTGTCAAATTATTGACAAAAAATTTACAATTTCTTTTTGAAATTACAAGTGCAGACTTGAAAAATTGTCAAAATTTGACAAGCGCACAAAAAAATTTGACACAAAACTTAACAATCTTGTAAAGACGTCAAAAATTCGGTTTCTGTTCTATTTTTTAACATTTTTTTCTCTTGTCTTGTTGTTATTATTCTGTTTCTTTTAGTTTTCATTTTTATTGGAATTTGATATTTATTTTTTTTTCTCATTTTTTCATTTTACCATATTATTTCAATATGTGATTTTTTTGTTTTCCCTTAATTTATCTTTTGGTTTTGTTGTTGTATTTTTTCTTCTCTGCATTATTTTTTTCAAATATAAATAGAAGCAACAAAAAGACAAACACATTTTTTTACATCTTATTTTTTTTAATTCATTTTTAAAAGATTCAGTTTTAATATTTTTTAGGGAAATGAAATAAAACTCAAATTTTAATCAACTTGCATAAATTTTATTGAGATTCTTTAAACAAAACAATTATTGTCTTCATTTCCTTGCCAACTCTTCTTTCTTCTTAAAATACTCACTGAATCTCACAACGGCATATCTGCAACCAATCTAATAACAAAAAAATCCCCCAAAACCCGCAACTCACCCTAAAAAATCAAACGCAATATCGGAATGTTCGGTCTGGATGAGGGCCCAAATACCCCAAAACAAATGACTGGCGAGTGTAAACTTGTCGACTTGATTGAGCAACAATTCGAGTTCTGATTGGCTAAAATCGGGTTTAAACTCATTTAGGTAGTTTTTCAGCCAGAAAATTTGAAATTCCCGCGTTGGGTAATTCCCATAATCCACGTTTTCGACACCCGCGAATTCCAAAAAATGATTGGCTATATCAAACGCTTGATAATTATAGTTGGCGTATTCGTAGTCAATAAAGGTGACTTGATTTTTATCCGAATTGTAAATCACATTGCCTAGGAGTAAATCATTGTGACAAAAGACAATCGGGCATTTTTCCTCGCTTAAAATACTTTGTAAAAAAATCAATTCTTGTTCGATTTGGGTTTTTCGAGGGCCAATTTTACGGTACCTTCAACATGAAAGTTACTAAAAACTAGTTTAGGGTTTTTAGTTACCTCTCATTTTTGGTAATATCACTAAATTGTTCAGGTACTAAATCGAGGAAATTCCGGATTTTGGTCCAGAGGAAGGGTTGAGGGTTGGATATGTCCGGTACTTGGACTTTGTGCAATTTGCCCATTTGGGTGGCTACCAGATGGGCAATTTTGGGTTCCTTGACCGTGGTAGGGGTCAAAGTGCACCCAGGGACGAATTGGTAGGCGAGACCATTTTCGAAAGTGGCGTACAGACTAGGAGCCAGGTTTAAACTGCTCAAAAGTAGTATATTCCTGAAAAAAAATTTTTTGCCCAATAACTCGAAAACCTGTGGTGGTAGATAAAAAATAAGGCCAGATTTGGAATCCTGAGACGATTTTACGTAAGATAGGGTTAGGTCCGGGCCACTCAAGTGTCTCAATTACCAAAAAATGGTCAATTTCCAGGTTTTTGTAAAATTTACAAAAAAAAAACAAAAATCTTGATTATCTCGGCTAATTTTTGACCAATGTTGATAAAATTTGGTGGGCATGTGTAGAATCCGCGTCTGGCTTAATATACAAAAAAACATTTAAATGAGAGTAACCGTTTTCGAAAAATCGCCAAAAACGTGGTTCCTAAGAGAATTTTTCCAATTTTACTGAATTTTGGCCTCTCAGTTTAAAATATTAGAACAAAATCACCAAAAAAAAGATGAATCCCCTATAAAATCGACCGAGAAACTCGAATTTGCCAAAAAAAAGTAACATTTTTTAACAATCTCGAAGTTATAGGCAGATAACCCATCGATTCATAAAAAATTCCAGTAAAAACCAACATTTTCAATTTTCTTCGCCATTTTTCCAGCAATTTTCACCAAATTAAGTGTTCTGACGTAAAACAGTTTCACAAATCTAATGGTGCAAGAATTAATTTGCTGCAACTAACCGTTTCAAAAATATGGCAAAAAAATCAATTCCGACTAAAATTTATCAAAATTAGACAATTTTTTGACAATTTTTTTGAAAATCACAGTATTAGAGTACCAAACACTTCCAGATTTGGAATCTTAGAATAAATTTACGTAAGATAGGGTTGGTTCCGGGTCACTCAAGTGTCTCAATTGCCAAAAAATGGTCAATTTCCAGTTTTTTTTTTCAAATTTACAAAAAAATTCAAAAATTTTGATTTTCACGGCCAATTTTGATCAAATTTGGTGGGCATGTGTAGAATCAGCGTCTAGTTTAATACACAAAAATTTGCTTAGATAAATCTAACCGTTTTCAAAAAATTGCCAAAAATGTGGTTCCTAAGAAGATTTTTCCAATTTTGCTGAATTTTGGCCCGTCAATTCAAAATATTAGACTAAAATCACCGAAAAAATAAGAATCCCCTGTAAAATAACCCGAGAAGCCCAAAGTTGCCAAAAAAAAGTAAATTTTTTTTTAATTTCGAAGTTGTAGACAGATAACCTGTTGATTCATAGAAAATTCCAGAAAAAACGAACATTTTCAATTTTCTTCCTCATTTTTCTAGCAATTTTCACCAAATTAACGCCAAAAACAATAAAACAGTCTCACAAATCTAATGGTACAAGAATTATTTAGTTCCAAATCACTCAAGTGTCTCAATAGCCAAAAAAAAAATTAATTTTCAGGTTTTTTTCAAATTTACAAAAAAAAATCAAAAAATTTAATTTTCTCGGCCAATTTTTGACCAATTTTGATCAAACTTGGTGGTCATATGTAGAATCAGCGTCCAGTTTAATATACAAAAAACAACTCAGATAAGAATAACCGTTTTCGAAAAAATGCCAAAACTTTGGTTCCTAAAAAGGTTTTTTCAATTTTGCTGAATTTTGGCCCATCAATGCAAAATATTACACTAAAATCAACGAAAAGAAGATGAATCCTCTGTAAAATAACCTTAGAAACTCGAATTTGCCAAAAAAAAAGTAAGATTTCTCAATAGTTTTAAAGTTATAGACAGATAACTCGTAGTTTTACAAAAAAAATACAATAAAAACCAACAATTTCACCATTTTTCAGACAATTTTCACCAAATTACGCATTTCTGACGTAAAACAGTCTCACGAATCTAATGGTACAAGAATTATTTTGCTACAATAAACCGGTCAAAAATTCAATTCCGGTAAAAAAAATCAAAATTGGGTCATTTTTGGCAGATTTTTTTAAAACTAGCTCGAAAAAAATCAAAAAACTCATGTATTACATTTAAAATAGCCCGAAAAACTTAAATCAGTGACAAAAAACAGTGTTTTTCCCGTCTTATCAAAACTAGAGATAGATAAAAGGTCACACTGAGTCAATCCTATTTATTCAAACTTTCTCTTTTTCCTCATTTTTTTTTGGGTGTTGGTAAAACAATTGGGTGTTTTTACCATAAAACAACCCACAGAATCCAAATCTGCAAGAATTTTGACCTCTGCCCTAAACATTTAATTGACCCAATCACCCCACGTGACCTCTCCCATCTCTCTCTCACCTCGTTTCGGCCTTGCGATCGATCAGAAGGTCAGTCTTATTCCCGTAGATCCTCACCAGCACCGTCTCCTCCTCCTCCACCCCCTCACCACTACATCCCACCAACTTATTCGTGATGCCATCTGTCAACAGCTGATTCACTCACTCCCACCCCCTCTTAAGGCCCCCATTTCACTCACCTTAAACTCGATACGGCGCCACTGCGGCCGTATCGCCCCCAAAACGCGCGCCGCCCCCCCGAAGACATCCCCCTCGGCCACCTGGAGCGACAAATGCGGAACTGGCGGAGCCCCCATCTCACTCATCACTCTGACACGTCCGCACGAGAACTAATGCTAAGCTCGACGACAAATAATGATAACAATTGTCGGAATTTTTTGACGCAATAATGCAGATTAAAGCGATTAAATTATTACAGTGACACATTTTTCAGATATTTCATTTATTGATCGCCTGTTTGGAGACGTTTCCGTCGGTTGGTAGCATTGCTAACCCAGTGCGGAAAATTGTGCAATAGTCAAGGCAATCAAGTCGCCGCTGACGCAGTTACTATGGCAATTGACACAAAAAATGGAGAAATCTGCACGTTTCCATAGTTACAATTAAATCAATTGACACGTTTCTATGGTTACAGTTGACAACAACCAAAAATAATTGGAGAAATCTGCACGTTTCCATAGTTACAATTAAATGAATTGACACGTTTCTATGGTTACAGTTGACAACAACCAAAAAAAAAATGGAGAAATCTGCACGTTTCCATAGTTACAATTAAATTTGACACAGTTGCTACGGCAATAATAAAATTACAGGAACCTGTAAGTTACTTACCCTCATGCTGGGTCCAATAAAATGTTGTTTACTTTTATCGTTTATTTTAAATACAATTCATAGATAATATAATAAAATACAATATTCAAAAATTTCATAATAAAACATGCACAGTTTTCTTAAATCAGCCTAGATTTTGATTGGTTTACAAAAAAAAAGCGAAACAATTGTAGTAACACCTGCAAAAAGCCTACTGCTGACATCAGTCTTTTTGCATTTTTTTATATAATTTCAGTCATGTATTTATACAATATATACTTAAATATTACTTTTATTTAAAAATGGATGGATAACGTGAATTATCTAACCAACACTAAAACTCTAGATATTTACAACAAAAAAACACTAGATTTTAAAAAACTGTACAAATGGAATGTTATATACAACGTTTTTTCTCTTTCCACACTTATCGTTTTGGCCTCTGAGTATTCTTCACCTCGCACAACTCACATGGCAAATCAGATCACTTTATTTCGCACTAAAATTATACATGGTGTTTATAATAATTGAGCATTGGTTTTGTTTAAAGTATCCCGTTTGTGAAATATTGAAAACCGTCGTAGAGTTTCGTTGATAATGAATGAATACTGACTTCCACCATACGATTCACCTCGAGTTGTAACTGCTCCTCGGTCATATTCATGTGGAAACGATTCTTCAAATTCTGAACGGTCGCCGCCCCCGATTTGAAACACGGCAATTGCGAACCTGAAACAAGTTTAAAAACACCCTGTATACCAAAAAACACACATCTAGTGTTACAACTAACCGAGATATAGGACTTTTACAAAATTTTAAACACCCTGTATGAGTGATTTTTCGAGTCGACAAGTTTCAGAAACAAACAAATTATCCTCAGACAAAAAAATACATGTCTAGTGTTATTATTAACCGAGATATAGAACTTAAAAAAAAAATTAAACACCCTGTATAATTGATTTTTCGAGTTTGAAAATTTCAGAAACACCCTGTATTTCAACAAATAACCTACACGCAAAAACTACGCGTCTAACATTGTTATTACTGAAGATATAAGACTTTCTTTAAAATGTGTAACACCCTGTATGATTGTTTTTTTCAACTCTTGAAACGTCAGAAACACCCTGTATGATTTTTTTTAACCCCAGATTATAATCAGACTTTTTTTCCTCAATTTTTATACAGAATAGTCAAAATTTTCTAAAAAAATTACTACAGTTGAACCTCATTCAAGCGAACTATTTTAAATTTTCGTCGCAATTTTGCAACCGTTACATCAATCTTAAGTAAAATTTCCCGCAGAATCCAAATCTAAACAATTTTTAACCTCCTTCGCAAGCGAAAACTATTATTAACCAAAATATAGAACTTTTTTCAAAATTTTAAACAACCTGTATAATTGATTTTTCGAGTTTTGAAGTTTCAGAAACACCCTGTATTTCAACAAATTACCCACACGCAAAAACTACGCGTCTAACATTGTTATTAATCAAGATATAAAACTTTCTTTAAAATGTGTAACACCCTGTATGATTGTTTTTTTCAACTCTAGACAAATTTCAGAAACACCCTGTATGATTTTTTTATATTATAGATTATAATTTTTTTTCTCAATGGTGATACAAAACTGTCAAAATTTTCTAAAAAATTACTACAGTTGAACCTCATTCAAGCGAACTTTTTTCAAAATTTTAAACACTCTGTATGATTAATTTTTCAATTATTCTAGATTATAATTAGGAGTCATTTGTTCAAAAATTTTAGAAAAAATTACTACAGTCAAATAATACAGTTGAACCTAAATCAAACGAACTTTTTTCAATTTTGCAACCGTTATGTCATTTTTACGTAAAATTTCCCGCAGAATCCAAATCTGAACGGATTTTTAACCTCCTTTACAGGCAAAAACTATTATTAACCGAAATATAAAAATTTTTTAAAAATTTTAAACACCCTGTATAATTGATTTTTCGAGTCTAGAAATTTCAGAAAAACCCTGTATTTCAACAAATTACCCACAAGCAAAAACTACGCGTCTAGCGTTATTAACTAAAATATGACTTTCTTTAAAATATTAAACACCCTGTATGACATTTTTTTTTCGACTCGACAAATTTCAGGAACACCTATTGTTTTTTTAACACTAGACTATAATCCTATTTTTTTTTCTCAATTTTTACACAAAACAGTCAAAATTTTCTAAAAAATTACTACAGTTGAACCTCATTCAAGCAAACTTTTTTCAAAATTTTAAACACCCTGTATGATTGATTTTTCAATTATTCTAGACGATAGTTAACAAAAAGTCATTTGTTTAAAAATTTTCGAAAAAAATACCACAGTCAAATAATACAGTTGAACCTAATTCAAACGAACTTTTTTCAAATTTGCAACCGTTATGTCATTTTTACGTGAAATTTCCCGCAGAATCCAAATCTGAACGAATTATTAACCTCCAACAAACAGTTTAAAAAATATATGTACATATATATGAATTTTGACAGTTTCACGTAAAAATTTTTTGCTCGACTCTTGACCTACCTGATCTCATAATCTCCACTAAAGGTACAATCATATCCATATGTTTTCTCGCTGCTACCAACCCTTGCAAAATTAAAATTTTAAAATACTCAAACATATCAGATTGATCACCGCCCATCACTTCAACAAATTCAGCGGTAAGTTTAAACGGCGACGTTTCGAATCCTAAATTCTTCGGTGACATACTCAGTATAAATCCAAAATCGATATGAATCAAGTGACCATCACTTTTCAATAATATATTTCCATTATGTCTATCTTTGACTTGAATTAAATAACAAAATAGACAGTAGGCGGCACAACTTTGTACAAAATTTTTCTGTGCTGTCAAAAATTCCTCGCACGTGATTGGTCCATATTCATTGATAAAATACTCCAATAGTGACAATTGACGATGTTTTTTAATTTGATGGAGTGAAACTGTATTTAAAATGGGTTCAATTAACCCACTATCATTTGAGAGACAAAGTATACGATATGGGTGCACCCATAATGGGACATGTTCCATCTCCCATATCCTTTGGAACATTTGTAAAAGTTGCGACGCCATTAATTCTTGTCGCAAATCATCGCCACATTTCACAATCACTGATAACAAAGTCCAGGAGGATAAATGCCCATATGGGGAACTCTCCCGGATTCGTCTCTCCTTATCATGCCATGGTTCCTTTAAAACAGCCGCTGATGGGTCCTGAGGATCATGGGTAAATTGTTTATTTTTCTCCTCGTGAATTGAATCCGATAAACGACGACGTATTTCACCAGCAGCGATCCACATCGGGGGTTCCCTTGAATCACTCGACTCTTGTGACATTTGTGAAATCGTATCACGATCAGCTATACGCTTCAATTGCGTATACTACAAAACACATATAGTTAAGATACTCGTCCATGTCTCGTGTATTAAACTAAATTACCTGTTGCGATATTTCATCATCTTCTTGACTCCAATCAGGATCATTATCATCACATAAACCACCACACATACTAAATGCCGATAATGAAGTCGTATCACCGCCACCTAGATTCTCTTCAGATTTAGTATGACGTAAAGTTGGCCATATTTTCGGTGTTACAATTGACGTATGTAAATCATCAACTTCAACCACTTCCACATAGATAATATATGGTGCTTTATCTTTCGAATTTAAGACGGCACCAACTTGAGGGGGTATTCTAACAATGTGATGTGGGGTCGTTGCTAGAGGTAACCATACTCTTGCCGGTAAATTTAAATTAAGTGTCGTCAATTCGGCCACTAATCTAGTAGTCTTTGCTTCTTTCGTTGGTATAGAAGACAGTAGTTTACCAATCGAAATCAACGCTTTCATGAATTCGAGCTCGGGAGCGAGTCTGGGTGCCTAAAATAGCAAAATTTCAAAAGGGGTCGGATTTTTCTAAAAGGGGTCGGGATTTTTCTAAAAGGGGTCGGACATTTTTTAGATGGGGTACCCCTTACCGAACATGTGCATTCAGTCTTTTTGCCTCGTAGATCGTTGACAACGCCTCGGCAGCTGTCAAAACAGGAGCATCCGTTGTCGAAGGCATGACCGGAAGTGAGGTCACCCATACAGAGACGTTTATCGGTGGAAGGACGTCGTGTACCCAATGCTGAAGCGTCACTTTGTGACCGTTGATGGGATTTTTTTGTGGTTGAAGAATGTAAGGTGGTAAAGGTGGTAATGATGGGTGTTTTATGGTCTTTAGGTCGAAGTTCGTCCGATAGAATGAGGTTACGTAGTTTAATTCCGAGTGGTTTCTTTTTCGATGGGACTGAAGCGTCGGAACTGTAGGCGTCCAAAAGCCAGGCACATTTTAGCGAAAAGTCGATCGATTTTCTACACCTGAAAAGGGGTAGGGGTTTTTGACAATTTTACACGAAAAATTCAAATCTTGCACTATTTCAAGCACTCAAACAGTGAGAAATTAACTTTTTGATCGATTTCCGATACGGGGTAGAAGGGGTCAATTAAAAAATCTTAAATTAATTTTCTACACTAAGAAAGGAGTCAGAAGTTTTTCAAACTAAAGTTTCAAATTTTTCATTAAAACAGCTAAAATTAAAATTTTGATCAGTTTCCGAAGCGTAGAAAGGGGTAGAAGAGGTCTTATAACAAGTTTTCGCAACAAAATCGTTAAATCTTTTTTGTTTCATCGAAAAAAACATATAAATGACTTTAACTAAAAAATACTAATTTTTAATATCTGAAAAGGAGTACGAGTGTGAGAATCTTTTTCGCTAAACAAAAGTGACAAAACAAATAAAAATTTTAATCAATTTTTCTCACTTGAAAAAGGGTAGAAGGATCTTATGTTAATTTATTTGTATCAAAAACCCAAAAAAGTTAATTTTGTCCGATTTTCTAGACCTAAAAAGGGGTAGAGAAGGGGTCTTCGGTCATGATTTTTCGGCACAAAATTCTCAATTTTTCATTATTTCAACATTAAGAAAGTTAAATTGATGGAATAAATACAATTTTAATCAATTCCTCCCAATTGAGAAGGGGTAGTACGGTCTTTTGTCAATTTATTTATAACAAAAATCCAAAATCTTTCATAATTTCAAGATTAGAAGCGTAAAATTGACAAAAAATTAAAATTTAGATCGATTTATAAAAAATACTAATTTTTAATATCTGAAAAGGGGTACAAGTAAAAGAAATCTTTTCAGCTACAAGTCTCAAATCTAAATTTAAAAAACTACAGTGACAAAATAAATAAAAAATTAATTTTTCCCACTTGAAAAAGAGTAGAAAGATCTTTTGTCAATTTATTTGTACCAAAAATCCAAAAAAGTTAGTCTTGTTAAATTTTCTAGGCCTAAAAAGAGGTAGAGAAGGGATCTTCTGTAACGATTGTTCGGCACAAAATTCTCAATTTTTCATTATGTCAACATTTAGACAGTCAAATTGACATAATAAATGCAAATTTTGATCAATTCCTTCTAATTGAGAAGGGGTAGAAAAGTATTTTGTCAATTTATTTGTATCAAAAATTCAAAATCTCTCATAATTTCAAGAAGAAGCGTAAAATTGACAATGAATTAAAATTTAGAACGATTTTCAAGACCTAAAAAAGGGTAGAAAAGGGGTATCCTTTAACGATTTTTTCGCCACAAAATTCTCAAATCATTATTTAAGCACCGTAAAAGTCACGTTTTATACATTTAAAAATAAAGCATCGATTTTTCATGAGTTGAAAAGGGGTAGAAAAATTAAATTAATTTGTTATTTATTTTTTGTTCTTTTGTTTTAACAGTTGCTAAATCCGCCATATTTAAACTTTTTACCCGTATTTGTAAAACAAATTAGCATTGACATGTAAACAGAGATAAGATAATATTGTCTTTCATTGTTAACAAAAAATGATCACATTTTCCCATTTTCTAGGTCATGTTTTCCTCGCGAAAACTTCGACTAGTTAATCGATAAACTCTTAACTAGAGTGTTAATAAATCACGGAAAAAAAATCGAGTTCAACACAAAAAAAAATGACATTTCAAACTTTCAACCACTCACACCCTTCGTTCGCTCGTCCTCACCTATGTATTAAATACGGATGTATAACTTCAGCCACATCATGCATTTGTATATACATGCATACCAACTGTGGCAAATAAAAATCCACTTCACCATCATCGAAACTAAACATTTTATTCGCTATATAACTCTGTACTCCTGGTTCCTTACTCTTGAAGAGGTAATGCATTGCCATCGAAACATCAAACACTTTACTTTCCAATAATCTCAACATTCCAAAACTTTTACTCGATTCAGATGTTGATAATTGTGATGGTGGTGTTAAACACTCGGATTTCGCCTCGTCAACACTTGATTCACGTGTTGTTGTATCGCTGCTTGATGATGAACCAGAATCACTTCCACATAAAATACCAGAATCATCCGACCCCAAACTAGCAAGTTCATCACGTGTTTTGGGGTCGACGACAATTGGGGGTACGACAACAGTTGGTTCACATTCAGGACTTGGGGTCACGTCCACTTCGGGGATGCGTTGAAGGGCTGAATCCAAACTGCGATTACGATGGTGAAGGGTGAGGTGGGGCGAAGTGGAAGACGTTATCTGGGCGACGGGAGGGAGGAGGATACCCATCGACCTGACAGAAAAAGAAACTTTGCTTCACTTTGCCCACGAAGTATACAAATTTTTTAACAGCCTACTAAACTTTCATTGCCCACTATAAAAAATATATATAATAATATATACCAGGTGAATAAAAAGTATGGAACCTTAAACTATTTATTTTTTGAAAAAACTAATTGATAAAGTACTATAAAAATGTGATGAAGAAGAATAAAATTTTTCGAAATTTCCATTTTTTTTTGAGTTCTACAAAAAAATTAATTTTTTTAAATGGCAACCCACTATAAAATCATTTTTCTCATAAAAGCTATACTCTAAGAATTACAACTATCTGCTTTATATTTAATTTTTTCAAAAAAAATATTTTTTTTCACATAAATTGCAATTTTGATAAAAAAAAATCGCGTAACTCAAAAACAAAACAAAATTTCGTTCTGAAAATACGATCATATTTTTTATATTACTCTAATTTATATTAATTATTATTTTCTGGAGGCAAATGATCAAAAATAAAACCGCTTGGTTCCATACTTTATATTCACCCTGTATATATACTACTAGAAGAAACTTTTCTTGACTTTGCCCACGAAGTATACGAATTTTGTCCCTTTTTTTTAACAGCCTACTAAACTTGATAGTGCACTATTTAAAACTTTTTCATTGCCTACTATAAAAAATATATATAGTTTTTTTTATTTCTGGGCAACGGAGGAAACAAATTTACGTCAATTTGACGCTAATTATGCAACTTGAGACACGCGATAACATAAAACGGCCTACTAGAAGAAACTTTTCTTGACTTTGCCCACGAAGTATACGAATTTAATGAGTCTTTTATTTTTTTTAACAGGCTACTAAACTTGATAATGCACTATTTAAAACTTTTTCATTGCCTACTATAAACAATATATATAGTTTTTTTTTATTTCTGGCAAACGGAGGAAACAAATTTACGTCAATTTGACGCTAATTATGCAATTTTTCTTGACTTTGCCCACGAAGTATACGAATTTAATGAGTCTTTTGTTTTTTTTAACAGCCTACTAAACTTGATAATGCACTATAAAACTTTTTCATTTCCTACTATAAATAATATATAGTTTTTTTTTTATTTCTGGCCAACGGAGGAAACAAATTTACGTCAATTTGACGCTAATTATGCAACTTGAAACACGCAATAACACAAAATGGCCTACTAGAAGAAACTTTTTTTGACTTTGCCCACGAAGTATACGAATTTAAAGTCTTTTGTTTTTTTTTTAACAGCCTACTTTTTCATTGCCTACTATAAAAAATGTAAATGTTTTTTTTTTATTTCTGGCCAACGGAGGAAACAAATTTACGTCAATTTGACGCTAATTATGCAATTTTTCTTGACTTTGCCCACGAAGTATAAGAATTTAATAATCTTTTGTTTTTTTTTTAACAGCCTTCTAAACTTGATAATGCACTATTTAAAATTTTTTCATTGCCTACTATAAAAAAATATATAGTTTTTTTTTTTATTTCTGGCCAACGGAGGAAACAAATTTACGACAATTTGACGCTAATTATGCAACTTGCGACACGGATAACACAAAATGGCCAGCTAGAAGAAACTTTTCTTGACTTTCCCACAAAGTATACGAATCTAATGAGTCTTTTGTTTTTTTTTTTAACAGCCTACTAAACTTGATAATGCACTATTTTAAACTTTTTCATTGCCTACTATAAAAAATATATATCTTTTTTTTTTATTTCAGGCTAACGAAGGAAACAAATTTACGTCAATTTGACGCTAATTATGCAACTTGAGACACGCGATAACACAAAACGGCCTACTAGAAGAAACTTTTCTTGACTTTGCACACGAAGTATACGAATTTAATGAGTCTTTTGTTTTTTTTTTTAACAGCCTACTAAACTTGATAATGCAATATTTAAAACTTTTTCATTGCCAACTATAAAATATATATATATATTTTATTTCTAGCCAACGGAGGAAACAAATTTACGTCAATTTGACGCTAATTATGCAACTTAAGACACGCGATAGCACAAAACGGCCTACTAGACTAATTGTTTTTATAGTAGGCTTGCATAAGCCAACTAGATTCAATTTTTTTTTGCAAATGTACGACGCATGCCGTCTTAATTAACTAATTAATTTGTAATTAGGTGAACACTTTCGAAATAAAACAAGTGAAATCTTATTTACAAAATATGTGGAGATTGTTGAGTAAATCGGAAATGAACACAAGCGCGCATTATTATATTTATAGTAGGCCGAGAGAGAAAACAAAAATTATTAATGCGCTTTTGTTTCACACAGCTGGCTTGATTGAAATTTCTATTTTGGTTTTTATTACCTAAAATCCAAACTTAAATTCCTTTGATGATTGCTCAGTCTGATTTTGGTATTGAGATGGGTGCTGGGTCGTCCATGGACCGATGGTACTGTATCTTTACACCCAACGAATTTTGCCCGTTTTACGTGGGCCATGGGTTGTTGTTGTTGTTGTTGCACTTCGCTCATCTCGAATACGTCATTCCATTGTTGTTATCACAGACCTAAGACAACCATTTGTTATCACAATGGACGAAAATGGGCGGTTTGTGACCCATGAGGCGGAGTTTTCGATTTGATTGATGTTTCAGGGCCGCACTTCCGTATAAAGAAGGCCCGGAGGTCATAAATTCCACAGTTTGTTTTAGTTTTTCACGACCAATTGTGGCACTGATTTTATTTTTCGGTAGAAAATGTGGGTTTAAAAAAAATAATCAGGAACTGTTTTTTTACATAAATTTGGCTACGGTTTCATTAGTTTTTTTTTGACCCATTGTGACATCATATTTATTTTCAGCCAAATTTCGACCCAAAATACATAATATAAAATTTTCGCGCCCACTTGATTGGCTTTTCTGACTTTTTTGAACCAGTTTTCTTTTTTTTAATGGGAAAAACTAAAAAAAAAATAATTTTGCATTAAAAAACAAAATTTCTAAAATAAAGTTTTATTTCTCAAAACAAACTTAAACACTGTGACTTTTGTTTTCCATGGACTATCACTTTTCCTATTTTTACATCAATTCCTGCAATTTCTAAACTAAAAACAATTTATTAAAAAAAAAATTCAATTTCACATTTTTCTTTTTTCACTAAGCATTTTTTTTTCATTACATTACCTTCTCTATTTTAATATTATTTCATAATCACCGAATTAGTTTTTTTTAACAAAAATCCGGTTTATTTTTAATTTTAACCAACTGTGGTAACAAATTTCCACGCTTACTTAATTAATTTGGCTTTTTTTGATTTCTTCTTTTTAATTATATTTTTTATTATATTATATGCAGAAAAAAAATTCTAATATAAAGTTTTATTTTTCAAGGCTTTTCATGGCGAAGAAAATTATCCTTTTTTTTAATTTCAGTTTTTTTGTTTTTATTATTGCACCTACTTGATTTATTCATATTAAATAAAAAATCGCAATAAATTTGAACAAATATTATTTTTCAGCATTATTTTTTGACCAACTGTGGCACCAAAATTATTTTTAACCAAATTTCGAGCCAAAATATATGAAATATAAAATTACCGCGCCTACTTTATTGATTTTTATGTCTTTTTTGAGCCAATTTTCTTTTTTTTTAATGGGAAAATGTAAAAAACAATTATTTTGAATTAAAAAACGAAATTTCTATAATAAAGTTTTATTTCTTAACACAAACTCAAACACTGACTTTTGTTTTCCATGGCCAACAAAATTAGAGTTTTTACCTAAATATGTAGAAGATTTTTTTTTTCACTTTTCCTATTTTAACATCAATTCCTACAATTTCTAAACTAAAAATAATTAAAAAAAAAATCAATTTCACAATTATTTTTTTCACTAAGCATTTTTTTATTACTTTGCATTCTCTATTTTAATATTATTTCATAATCACCGAATTACATTTTTTTAACAAAAATCCGGTTTTTACTTTTTAATTATGAGACCTACTTGATTTATTTTTTGTTTTAACCAACTGTGGTACCAAATTTCCGCGCCTACTTAATTAATTTGGCTTTTTTTGATTTCTTCTTTTTAATTATTTTGCAGAAAAAAAAAACAAAATTTCTACCATAAAGTTTTATTTTTCAAAGTCCACTATGCTTTTCATGGCGAAGAAAATTATATATTTTCTTTATTTCAGTTTTTTCGTTTTAATTATTTCACTTAGTTGATTTATTCTTCTTTATATTAAATAAAAAATCGCAATGCATTTTTTTTTTTGACCAACTGCGGCCTCAAAATTATTTTTTTTAGCAAATTTCGACCAAAAATAAGTGAATTATCACCGCGCCTACTTGATTCATTTTTATTTCAGCCACAATTTTCGTTCTATTTTTATTGCCAACTAATCTTATTCTTTTTTGATTCGAAAAAAAAGGTTTAAATTTCATTTTTTAGGTCCAACTATGGCACTAAAACTTTTTTTAGACACAAATCGCATTTTTTTAACCAATTTTTGCAAATTTGAAACATTTTTCATGGCCAAGTAAGTTTTTATTGTTTTTTTTATTTTTATTATATATTTATTTTTTCATTGCCAATTCATGGCCACCTAATTAATTTCTTAGTTTCCACCCAAAATAATTCCATCATCAGTACTTATCGCGCCTACTTGATTCATTTTTCTGTCTATTTTTATCATAATTACCACAAACTTATCAATTTTAACATATGTCTATTTCTTTAGTTTTTTTTTTAAAGCTTTTTTTGGTAAATATGGAAAAAAAAAACATTCATCATGGCCAACGAGGCCACTAAATTTTACACGGCCAACTTGATTCAAAATAGCGAAAACAAATGAGAATTTTACGTCCCCCACGCCTCCTTGATCGATTTGCCTGTCAACAAACTTTCACCCTTTCAAACTTTTGAAAGTCTCGATCCTTGACCTCTCAATCTTATCACCTTATCATTTCATTGTTTTGATTGGGTCGTTATTCATCTGTCACACCCTGTGGCCGCCTTCGATAAAATACGAAAACCGTGCCCCAATTTCATTTTGGTGTCACAAAACCCCCCAATGGGTGTGCCCAACCCCAAAAACCACCCCAAAAAACCTACGTTTACGGAAAATCACTCAAACTTTCTATTTTCGTCGAGAAATCCCAGACACAAACGTCAAACGTACAAAACACTGAAATATCCTTAATGGGGGCACACTTGTACACATTCACGCCACTTCCGGTCCGGGGACGCGTTTCCACCGGAAATAACCCGGATTTAAGTACGGGAAAAGGGATTTTCGAGACGATCAAAACACAACTGCCACGGGAGAGACGCCATTATGCGTACTAGTGAAGGGGAGGGGGGCGACAGAATGGCCAACCCAACACCAAATGTCACTAAAACCACCAAAATTCCTCAGATAATTTTGAGGAATTTCGAGATTTTTGAGTCATCGGTGACCCGACTGTGTTTCTATCCCCTCAAAAACCTCAATTTTGAGTACAAGTGCACCGAAACGGCCTTGAAACTATGTTAAATGGACGAGTTTTTGCCAAAAAACCACCCACGAGACCAGAAATGAGATCATGGGACTGTTTTAACGTCACGTGACGTTCCATGGGTGGTAAAAGTGGTTTTTTGGATGGGTTTATGGGTTACTTACGGGCACTAGTGTGGCAACACTGACGTTTCAAAAATGACACACAACGAGTGCTTGATTCAAGGGATGAATTCGATGATAAGAGTGATAACAAAACAATTGCGAGTCAAGGTAAACAAAACACGACCTTGCTGACGCGAAAAATTCGTTTTTTTCGCATTTCGAGGTCATTCAACCGGAAAAAAAAGTGTCATTGGAAAATAATTTCGTGTGAAAGTATCGGAAATTGTAATTACTAGAAATCCGTAAAAATCGAAATTATTAGATTATTGAGCATCACAGAGTGTTAACGCACTCGTAAAAACGTCATTTCAGTGATTTACGACGTTTTCAGTTTCTGAAAAAATTGTTTTTTTTTCATTTCCTGAAAAAACTGATTACTTAATTCAAGATCAAGGTCGCCTAATCCGTACCAAGCAGCGACATTGCATTGTTTTTCACCTCTCATCTCGATTATAAATATGTAAACAATAAATTCCATCGATTTGCGGTTTTGTTTTACGATTTTTTTACGATTGTCGTAATTTTTTTTTATTACGATGATAAAATTTCAAGTGTTTTAGAGACGATCTAATTGAACATTTGACCCAATTATGGTTTTAGTGACCCTAAAATCGAGCAAAGGTCGAAGAACAGATAAAGAAAATGCGTTTTATGCGATTTTTCACGCGAAATTTGCAGTTTTTTCGACACCAATTCACTTCTCTGAACATTTTACCTACCAATTTTGACAAAATTGATAGTTCAAGTGGACACAAATCTGGCCATTCTGGTGGCAACATCACAAAAACGCGATTTTCTGTTGTTTTACGTAACAATCATCGGCAAAATACTCTTTAAACACCAAACCAAAACATTTCAAGTAGGCCCAAATCCGGTCAATGTGAGGGCTAGATTAAAAAAACTATTTTTTTTCCTTTTTTGTTTGATAAAAACAATAACAATACTAAAAATAGGCCAACTAAACACTAAACTATGTGTTTTCAAATGGGTTCAAAACCGGCCATTCTGGTGGCAACATCACATAAAACCACGATTTTCTATAATTTTATTAACAAAAAGCGTAAGAATATCAATAATAGGCCAAATACTCCTTAAACCCCGAACCAAAACATTTCAAGTAGGCCCAAATCCGGTCAACGAGGGGGCTAGAGATGAAATAAAAATGCAATTTTTTCTTTTTTTTATTAGACAAAAATAGTAACCACACTACTAATAGGTCGAAATATACGTAAACATGTAACTATTTTTTTTCAAGTGGACTCAAAACCGGCCATTTCAATGGCAAAATCAAACAAAACACTTATTTTATTCTTTTTTCATCAACAACAATGGTAATAAGAGTGATAAGAAGGCAAAATGTGTATTAAATATTAGACCAAAGCAGTTCAAGTGGACTCAAATCCGCCCATTTTTTTTTGTCAAGTGTGTATAAATCTGTCCAAAATAACCTCAAAATCAATTCAAAACGTCAAAATTCCCGTCATGTGGCACCTCCTCCTTCTCCTCCTCCTCCTCCGCATCCGCCCCGTCCTCCCCGCCGACGCCCACGTCCTCAGCCTCACCGACACCAACTTCAACCGCCAACTCCTCCTCAACCCCACCCTCCTCGTCCAGTTTTTCATCCCCTGGAGTGGCATGTGCCAAAAAACGCGCCCCCATTTCGCACACGCCGCCAAAATCCTCGCCGTCAACCAAGTCCCCGTCACATTGGCCAAAATCGACTGCTCCGGAAAGGGGCGTTTGACATGCACCCGGAAGAACATAACCTACCCCTACCCCGCCTTCCACTTCTACCGGAAAGGCGTCTTCGTGAAGGAGTACACCGGATCGCGGGACGCCCGGAGCATCGTCAAGTTTATGCGCGTTCAAGTGGTGCCAGATCCGGTCGAATTGCGGGACGTCGAGCAATTCCGGGAGTTCCTCGACCGGCAAGATGACGTCATCGTGGTGGGTTTCTTCGAGGAGGAGAGCAAACTCCGGAGGCTTTTCTTCCGGGTAGCGGAGGAAATGAAAGAACGGATGATTTTCGCATTTACAAGTTGCGAAAAACTCATTTTGAAAGAAGGTGTGAGTAATGGGATTGTGATTTTCCGGCCGAAAAGTCTCCATAATCAGTACGACCCGGAGCGGGTGCTCTTCACCGGAAGAAGTATCATTGGTGAAATCAAGAATTTCATCACCCGGAATTACCATGGTTTGATTGGACATAGAACCCCCAATAATCGGTATGATTTTCCCAACCCTTTGGTCATCGTCTACCATACCATTGACTACCATTCCGGTGGTACCGAATTAAACTATTGGCGGTACCGTTTGATCAAAATCGCCCATAAGTACCAAAATTTCGTCAAGATTGTCACAAGTGCCAAAGACGATTTTGAGGAGGAAATTGCCGATTTGAGGAGTGACACTCTCACCCCCACCACCCCCTTGGTGGTAGCCTTCGATCTCGAGAACCAAAAATACGTCATGAGTGACAATTTCACCACCGGAAATTTTGACAATTTCGTCGAGAATTTCGTCAACCGAAATTTGACACCCTACTACCAATCCAAGCCCATCCCGAAGGAGAACGATGGGCCTGTGGTCATTGCCGTCACCCAGAATTTCAACCAAATGGTATTAAACAACGGAAAAGACACCCTTTTGGACTTGTATGCCCCCTGGAGTCTCAAATGTCAGAAATTTGTTCCGGTTTTGCGTGAAGTTGCTGAACTTTTAGAAGACGAAGACGTGGTTTTTGCCCGAATGGACGCAACCGAGAATGAAATACCGGAAGTGTTTAGTGAGAAAGGTACACCGAATATTTTCTGGTTGGCTAAAAACCGGAAACGGGGTTTGGTGGTGTACGAAGGGGAGAGGAGTGCAGAGGAGGTTGTTAAGTTTGTGGCGAAGAAAGCGAGTAAGGAATTGAAAAATTATGACAGGAAGGGGAATCCCAAGGATGATAGAGATGAATTGTGAACTTTGTGGAATAAAGGGTGTGAGAGTAAGGCTCGTTAGCTCAGTTGGTTAGAGCGCCGAACTGCAAAAATACGCCACGGAGGACGCAGGTTCGAATCCTGCACGAGCCCGTTTTTTTTTTTTGGCATTTATTTAAAATTTAAGTATTACAAATGATAATAACCGAAATTTTGGTTAAAACTTAAACGCTCCAAGGAAATTGTGGAGGATGCAGGTTTGAATCCCGTCCTAGTCATTTTTTTTGTGGTAAAGTGTGTCGAATTAAACTCACAACATTAGATTTCGCTCCAATTTATTGAAAAATTAAGAAAAAAAATCATTTCAAGGGTTGGAGAATTATTAATGCCAGAGGTCTTAGGTTCGAATCCGGCCCGAGTCAAATTTTTTTTTTCTTTATATGTGACTGAAAATGTGTTGGAAATTGACGGAAACTCATGTAAAAACGTACGGGGGAATCTGAATATACTAACCGTGTTTATCTATGACTTATGGTTCCGGTACGAAATTTTCAGCCTAATTTCCGAAAAAAACTAGTTTTTTACCAATTTTCAAACAATTACAATTAAAATTATCGTAAAATGACGGGCAAATTGACAATCAACATTACAAACACCCAAAATTTTGAAAAAAAAAAAAAATCACATCATGAGCGAAAAAATTATCGGAATACTAGAAGTCGCAAGTTCGAATCCCCCCCGAGCCAATCTTTTTTTCATTTTTTTTTCACTTATTTGGCTAAAAGTGAGTGAAATTAAATACGCAACACTAGATTTCGCTCTAATTTATTGATAATTGAAAAAAAAATCATTTCAAGGGTTGGAGAATTATTAATGCCAGAGGTCGTAGGTTCGAATCCGGCCCGAGTCTTTTTTTTTGTGGTAAAGTGTGTCGAATTAAACTCACAATAATAATAATAATAATAATAATAATACAGGTAAAGTTGTTTGTAGAATAAAAGGATTTACGTTAAATTATGAAACCTCCGAAAAGATTAATTCCGATAGCATGAATAATATTTTAGAATACAAAGAGAAAAAAATCAGTACACAATATAATCGAATTACCAGAGATTCTAAAACTAAAGAACTTTTAAATAAAATAGAAACAAAGGAATTTGGTTTTGTTTATGACAAGAGAGTTATTCTAAAAAACTTTGATACAATACCGTTTGGATTTTAATACAAAATATGCTGGATTACACGTACTTCGGTTTCCTCAAATTTACCGTTAGGCTTTTCGAGTCCGGCCCCTTAAATTAGATTGAAATACCGCCAATGAAATAATAAAAAGAGGAAAACCGTTAAGGTATGCAACACAATATACAATCCTGCACGGTTTATAACATAACCATAGGCTCATACTCCATTGACATTTGACATCGTTGTTTACAAATGACCTACGTGTGACCTACTCTAATGACCAGCAAGCTATTGTAAGGTTCTGTGATTGTAAGTATGTTGTAAGTGTTCTGTGGCTGCAAGTGTTGCACTCAGTAACGTTATATATTTATTACGATTATTAATAATAATAATAATAATAATAATAATAATAATAATATAATATATTTGTGTTAACAATGTAGATACATTTTACACACGTCATATAAAACAGAGCTAGTTACTTAATTACATCATTTTAACAACAACACCAAAATCATCATGACTGGCAGTTAAAAACTCCTCAATCGAATAGAATGATCTAAAGAGAAGATATTTCTTTACATCATTTAAGAGCAGTTTAGGAGAGGATTTATTTATGGCATGGTTAGGGAGACAGTTATAAAATTTAATGCAATAATAATTTGTTGCATTTCTAGATCGGGTTAATCTAATATTATTTATACATAATTCTGTAGATCTGGTAGAATAAGTGTGGAAGGAATTTAAAGACTTATATAAATGAGTATTTTGAAGGATGTATTCAAAACATTTGTATATGTACAAACTTGGTAAGGTCAAGATGTTTAAGTTTTTAAAAAAGCGTCGACAATCATCGCGAAAACCAATTTTTGACATAATTCTAATTACTCTACGTTGTAACTTAAATAATCGGTGAGATGCCGAAGAATGTCCCCATATAATCAAACCATACTCTAAATATGTCTGAATTAATGCATAATAACTCACTTTTAAAATTTTTTCTGAGACACAGTTKKACATGTTTCGAATTAAATATATGTTTTTACACAGCTTGTTTGCTACATAATCAACATGATGTTTCCAAGTCAAGTTTGAATCAACATATACACCCAAGAATTTAGTAAAGTCTGTATCAGAGTCATCATTATCTAAGTTTTTTAGAGTAAATGTTAATTTAACAGTTTTATTTTTATTAAGGTTTAATTTATTAGCTAACATCCATTCTTCAGTAAACGCATAAAAATTTTCAATTTTTCTTACAAGTATTTCTATGTTCTTATCAGCGTAACCAAGAGTTGTATCATCCGCATATAAGACTATATTTGGTTCTGAGATGTAATAAGAAAAATCATTTATGTAGATGAGAAACAATAAAGGGCCTAATATTGACCCCTGCGGCACACCATGAGAAATTTCTTTTGCAGCAGACAGTTTGCCATTGATATTTACGACTTGAGTTCGATTACTTAAATATGATTGGACCATAGACACAGCATGCGTTGAGAAACCGTAGAGAGGTAATTTTTTTATTAATATATCGTGAGATACCGTATCGAAGGCTTTACTTAGATCTAAAATCAGTGCCTGATAATACAGACGACAGTTTGTTAGATTTTCTGTTATTTTGTTTATGATTTAATTGATCTGGTACGTATTGTGTAGCAATTTTACAAATGTAGTAAATGTGTAAAAAACTATCGCTTCCAGATAAAAATGGATAGAAAAAAGTACGGAGTCAGCTTATCGGCATTAAAAAGTTTGCAAGATTTCCAGTGTTCGCTCATCGTGAATAAGAAGAAACGAAAAATATTAACTGCAATGCCTTTCGCAGTTGAATGTTTGTTGTCCCTCAATTATGAAGAACTGGGTCGTTGCAGTATAGTAGCAGACTCGGGATTCATCTCTTCTCAAGAATTTGGTGTGATTTATTTGAAAAATCGGGTTGCATCCATTACCGAAACTGATACTACTGTACTATTTGAAGGTAAAGGGCGATTCAGATTATTTCACAGAATGTTTATACAATTTGATAGTAAAGACGACAAGGATGCTTTTATGACCAGCATTCAAACTGTTCTAAGGTAAGTACAACCAAAAACCGAACATAAGTTTCATTTTCTCATGGTTTTATTTTTGTAGCTCATCGGATTCAGATGATAGTGGCGATAGCGTATTACAGTAATACACAGTAATATTTATTATTATTATTTCATTTATTACTATCATTTTGGCTGAATAAATAATTTTTGTATTCATAGCTCAGAAGAAATTTATTTTCTCGAACTCGTTAGGACGTTAGGTAAACTAGGTATTTATATAATTCTAACTTATTAATACATACAGTTTTTACATTATTTTCATAGCATAGAATCCTTGAAATATCTGTTTTTTAAATATACCTTAAAAACTTGGTCATATTCTGGAGTGTATACCGTTTGGGTATACACCAAATTTTCCAATTCACAATTCTTTTAAATAAATTTCATCTTCGGCTTTGCCAGTCTTCTATTTTTGACATAACAGGGTCCTTATAAAACAGAACTGTAAATTCGTGGACGTAGTCCGCTCATAAGCGAAGCGAATTTGTTAGGCCGAAATTGTATTCATATGTGTGCTAAAGTGGCCCAACAGAAAAACAGGGTAAAATCTTTGAAAAATGTTAATTTTAAAATATACCTTAAAAACGACGGTGTTTTCATGATTTTTTCTGCTTTTCAGTTTACCACTGAAAATCGGGGTGTTTTTCCATAAAAAGTGCTGTGTGCTGAAGGAGCCCACTGCTTTTCAGTTTACCCTTGAAAATCGGGGGTGTTTTACCTCAAAAAGTGTTGTGTGTTGAAGGGGCCCTTATAGTAGTTTTATATGACGAAAAATGTGTCGGAAACTTATGTAAAATCGTGCGGGGAATCTGAATATGCTAATCGTTTTCATCTATCACTTATAGTTCTCGAGTAAAAAATTAAAAATGCGACGAAATTTTCAGCTTAGCATAATTTCCGAGAAAAACTAGTTTTTTACCAATTTTCAAACAATTACAATTAAAATTATCGTAAAATGACGGGCAAATTAGCAACACCCAAAATTTTAAAAAATCACATCTAGGGCGCAAAAATTATCGGAATACTAGAAGTCGCAAGTTCGAATCTCATCCAAGCCAATCTTTTTTTCATTTTTTTTTCAGTTATTTGGATAAAAGTGAGTGAAATTAAACACGCCACACTAGATTTCGCCCCAATTAATTGAAAATGTTTGAAAAAAAACCGTTTCAAGAGCCGGAGAATGATTAAGTGTCAGAGGACGCAGGTTCAAGCCCCGTTGGAAACCATTTTTTTTTTAAATTTTTTTTAATTGTTTTTAGATATTGCATGTACAACAAAAACTTGACCAGTTTAAAGTTTTATTTAGTAAAAAATACACTCAAGTCTTAAGCCACCAATGCTGACGCAGTACTAGACTCATACTTCCAATTCGGTGCCAAAACATTCTTAGTTTTGTAATATCTGGCCAATCTGTGAATCCTCGACTCGACCAAAATCAAGCGAAATTTGCTATCCTTATCCTTGCGATTCCTCTCCAAATGTTTCCTGATCGCGACAGCCTTCTTAATCAAATAATACAAATCCTCGGGGAGATCAGGTGCAAGCCCCATGGCTTTCATAATCCTGAGAATCTTATTCCCGGTCACAAATCTCACCTGAGCCACTCCATGCGAGTCCCTCAGAGTCACACCTGAAACGAATTTTAAGCCCGGTCCTGAGACAAAAACCCAAAAAATTACCGATTTGTGAAGGGGTCAAGCCTTTTTTGCCCAACTTGAAAATGTAGTCTTTGACCTCATCGGGGGTCACTTTCAGCCACGTGGGGACACTACGACGGTAGGGGAGCGCCGATTGGGCGATACCTTTGCTAAAAAAACGAAAAAATTAGCATTACCACGAGGTGACATAACCTCAATTTTTTTCCAAGCGTCTGGTGCTTTTTTAAACGATTTTTACCACACATTGTATATGTTAGGGGGCGCATTAAGGGGTTAGCAAGGGGGTACTTACCCAGGTGCGTGCATACGACCCATTTTAAGGCTAAATTACACGATTTCCAGCGAATAAACCAACACCAACGCACTAGAAACGTAAAAGGGATTTTTGGTTTCGTGGGTTGGTACCACCAACTCAACTGTCCAAAAATCGACCAATTTAATTAATAAATTAAACTATTATTGTAATTAGTCTAATTAATCTGTAGTCTAAAACCCACAATTACGATCACTTAATTAATTAATCGATAGTGAGGAAAAAATTGTTTCCTCAATTGGCCCAAAAAAATCTGTCATTTTTTGGTCAACGCCAACTAGGATTTTGTAAAGAATTTTCTCACAGTGTCTACAAGACAGGATATATGCTTCAAGTGACTGAACACGATTTAATCAACAAAAGAACGGAAACGGTTAAAAAGGTCTTCAAGGGGTCACAATGTCGCTTAAGTACCGGATTTACTTATTACGTCTGCGAAACGATACAACAATGTTAATTTTTTTTTTCTTATGGTAGCACTGTTAGAGTGTACCCAGCTTCATGTGTTTATTACAATAAAAAAAAAGGATTGGTAACACTGTTGGGATTTATAAATAAAAAGGAAAAAAAAAACACGTCGTTGCCATAGTTTTAACAGTCATTGTATTTATTTGGGGGATTTTTGTTTTATTAGAAAAACAATCAAAGGTCACTTTTCTGATAAGCATAACTTGCATAATCAAGCTATCATAAAACAATTTCATGTCATTTAACGAATCACGTGATCCATTTCTACGCCACAACATTTCCCGATTTGAATCCAATCGATTTCAACTCACAAGTGAATTTTAAGGTAATTGAATCAATTTTTTCATGACAATTTCGTTCATTTTTTTTTAATTGAATCACCTTGTATATGGAAGCGCCACCTAGTGACAGTCACCTAACTTACCTCAAGGTCAAAAGAGACAGTGATTTGACAGATAGTGACAGACGTCAAAAATAACAATTCTAAAAACTCGACCTGTTAATTAACGAAATAATTAATAATTGTGAAATTTTCGTTTTATATACAGGGTGTTTTGTGTAAATAATATAAACAAAATCGCATCACAATGCCCCTAATTGAGGGTATCGGCGATGAAGTGACCCATTTTTTTATCGCATTGTTGGTGATGTTAGTCGGTAAGCCCCCTTGAGCCGTCGGGAGCCCCCCACTAGCCCCCTTGTTTCCAGTATCATTGGCGTGGTGGACGACCAGTATTTCTGAGCAAAGACATGTGCAAACTGTGTGGCTGCTGGACCGCCGCCGGCATAGGGCCCCCCGCCGACTCACCAACCACACACATGCTGTCACAATCGCCGAAGGTGCGCCCGGAAGCCCCCCAAAAGTGTCTCAAATTCGCTGTTTTAGGTACAACAGTGCGGACGGAGACCGTGACTGAGACACCTAAGCCCCCCGAGCCTGGTTCGAGTTCCGACGACAGGAGCAGGATTGTTGAGGCGATGGACGAGGGGGCCCCCGAAAGGCCCAAAGGGACCGATATTACAATCAAACTGAAATATATCAACGATGATCTGAAACTAGTTGATGGGAAGTTGCAAGAGCAATTGGGGGATTTCAAAAAGTAAGAAGTGAGGTTATGTCAAATGGGGGCTGTTTTTTTGCAATAAATTGGGACTCACCTGTCGGAACCTCTCGGAATTTGGTTTAATTGCAATTGTACAACACTAGAACTTAAAAAAAACAGTTAATTTATCACAATTTTAAGCCGAAAATCACAACTCTTTCAATAACGCCACCAACTTGACGAAACAAAAACCACTAGAATTTGTCCAAATTGTGAAATTAAGCCAAAATTTGGATTTCAGACGCCACTTTCACGTGGAACTCGCCTCCAACAAGCTCGTGCGACTTATTTTCAACGGTCAGGTCCTCCAACAGGACACTAAGACTCTTGAAGGTTGTGGACTTTTTGACAATTGTGTCGTTCATTGTCTCATTCATCAGCGAAGACCGGCCCCGGGGGAAGAGTCTCAAGAGTCCCGCCCCGAACAATCCCAAAATCCCCGTCCTAATCCCAATAATAACAATAATCAAGGACGTGATTGGGATCTAGGGAATTTTCTTTTTGCCATTATTAGTTTTACACTACTGTCGGCCTGGTATTTCAGGTAAAGTACCAAAAATTGTTTGTATTTTCTCTAACTGGGGTTTACAGGTACGTTTATGCCCATTTATATACAGTTACAGCTACAGTAGGACTGATTTTAATGACGGGAGTGTTTACGATTGTACTGTTCGGGTTTTATTTCCCCGATCATGAACATATACCACAGCGAGGGGACACGACACAGACTTAAAAACAATTTTTGTTAATTGTATAAATAAATAATTTATATTAATGTTTTAAATAAAGTTTTTCTACAAATTCAATCAAGTTTTCTGTTTTACCGACCCTGAATTTTTGGTGATTGTTACCCAAATAATTAATACCCGACACTCAGAGTACTATTTTTAAGTCTTGTAAACCAATTACGTGCGTGTAATCGTTTCAAAAATGCGAAAAATGTGTTTGTTTTGCTTCGTTCTAGTGACTTTCCCCCCGTCATGGTGGTATTAAATGTCACAACAAATGTCACCCAGCGATGCTTTTAAGAAATGGCCAAAACGCAGATAAACAACTTAATTTCACTCGTGTTCGTGTTCGGAATCGTTTTAGGTACCCCTTGAGTCGCCCTCAGCCCCCTTGAAACTAACTTTCTTGTGTTCCAGATTGCGATTTAAGCGGTGCAGGAATCACTCGCCCCATCACCACAAAATGCGAGTTTTTCAACCAAACTCTGTGTGCAGACAGCAAGGGGGCCACCTGCAACGAAATTCAAGAGTGTGAGAAGCCCGAGGATGGTAAACGCAACCATTGTTTCGTTTTGTGGTCATGGGAGGACAACGGAAGCGTCAGTATCGCCCTCAAGGTAAACAAACACTCAAAGGGGCCTAAAAGGGGCTACAGTGTCTTTGCAGGGGTGTTTCCTCAACAGTGAGCAATGCTACGATAAGACAGAGTGTGTGGAGACAAGCCCCAAAAGCAAGAAACCCAAACACATGTTTTGTTGTTGCGAGGGGAATATGTGCAACCAGAATTTCACATGGGAGCCGGCGCCCCCCACTGAAGCCCCACCATCGAGCAGTGAGTCACTTGACTGTTTTTAAGTCATGGTAATTGTGCGATTTTAGCCCCCATTCCGGTTGTCTACAACCCAGATTTTATCTACTATATAGCCCCAGCTGTCTTTATGGGTTTTTTGGTGTTGTCAGCCCCCATTGTGTGGTATTGTTGGCGTAAACGTAAATTTTACTTCAATGAGGTAATTATCACCCAATTATTATTATTATTACTACAAGAAATTATTTTTTTTTTGCTGTCACAAAAGTGGGGTGTAAGTGTTTTAAAAAAACTTTTTGGGGGTTTAAAAATTATGTTTGGTTATTTTTTCAGTTGCCAACGAGTGAGCCACATCCATTACCGCCCCCTTCACCCTTTTTGGATACACGTCCCATTCAATTGATTGAAATTAAGGCTCGGGGGCGTTTTGGGGCTGTCTGGAAGGCACAATTTAAATCGGAGGAGGTTGCTGTTAAGATTTTTCCCATTCAGGATAAACAATCGTGGATTACCGAACAGGAAATTTTCAAATTGCCACATATGAATCATCCGAATATTTTACAGTTTATTGGTGTTGAAAAAAGGGGTGATAATTTGAAGGCTGAATTTTGGTTGATAACAGCGTATCATGAAAAAGGGTCGTTGTGTGATTATTTAAAGGCACATACGTTGACGTGGAATGAATTGTGTTCGGTGGCGGAGACAATGGCAAGAGGTGAGTATTTTTTTGAAAAAAAAAATAAAAAAATTACGAAAAAATAAGCGAAATAAATAAAGAATGAATAATATTTGAAAAAGCAGTGAAAATAACATGTTTATTTTTTTTATTCAATGAATAAAAGGTATTTATAAAAAAAGAATAGAATTAATAAAACTACTAAAATAAAAATAATAAAAAAGTTTGAGCTTAAAATTAAAAAAAGAAGGAAGAAGGAAATAATGGGGGATGTTTTAAAGTAGAGAGGAGAGAGACAGGTAAAAAAAGAACAAGTGGAATTTTAAATTAGGAGGAAGAAAGAAAGGAGAATGAGAAATAAAGAAAGAGAAAGAGACATAAACAGAAGTGAGAGAGAAAGAAAGGGATTTAAAAAAAGTAAAATATGTAATTTTAAAGTAGGAGAGAAAGCGAAAGAGAGAGGAGAAAAGTGAAATAAACAAAGAAGAAAGAGAAAGAAAGTGTGATGGAGAAATTAGAAAAACGTAGAATTTTAAAGTGGGAGAAAGAGGAAAAAGATAGAGATTGTAAAACAAGAAAAATGTGGAATTTAAAGAATGAGAGAGAGAGGAGAAAGAGATAAAAAAGGAATTAAAAAAAGAAAAACGTGAAAGAGAGACAGAAATAGAGGAAAATAGAAAAAAGGGATCTAAAAAAAGAAAATTGGGATTTTATAGAAGTGAGAAAGAGAAAAAACAAAGGTGGGAAAGAGAGAGGAGAAAGAAATAAGGAAATGAATATAAGAAAGAGAAATTTGCAATTTTAAAATAGAAAAGAGAGAGAGAGGAAAGAGGAATAGAAAGGGATCTAAAAACAAGAAAAACATATTTTTTTTAAGTAAAAGAGAAATAGGAGAGAGAGAAAGAAACACACACACAGAGAGAAACAGAGAAAGGGATCTAAAGAGAAAAAAATGTGGAACTTTAAAAAACACTGAAGGTGAGAGAGAGAGAGAAAAATAATCTACAAAAAGAAAAACGTTCAATTTTAACGTAGCAAGGAGAGAGATAGGAAAAGAGAGATAGAAAAAGTAAAAAAAACGTAAAATTTTAAACTAGAAGAAGGTAAAGATTGAAAAAAAAAAAGATAGAAACATAGGGATCTTAAAAAATAAAATGTGGAATTTAAAAGTAGAAAAAAAGAGAGGGAGAAAGAAACAAACAGAGAAAAATTGAGAGACAGAAAGATATAATGAGATAAAAAAAAACTAGAATTTTAAAGTAAGAGAGAGCGAAAGAAAGAGAGGAGAAAGATAAGAAAAAGAGAGAAAAGAGTGTAAAAAAACAAAAATGTGGAATTTTAAAGTAGAATAGAGAGAGATAGAAAACGAGGGAAAAGGAGAGAGAAAATGAAAGACAAAAAAAGAGATCTAAAAAAGAAAAATGGAAAATTTTAAAGTAAAAGAGGAGATGGAGAAAGAAACACCCTGAGAGAAAAATAGAAAGAGGAGAGAAAGGGATCTAAAAAAATGTAAGAAGCGAGAAAGAGAGCGATAGAAAAAAAGGGATTTAAAAAAGGAAAATGTGTAATTTTAAAGTAAAAAAAAAAGTTTGAGAAAGAGACACAGAAAAAGTGAGAGAGAAATAGAGAAAAAAAGGGAAAAACGTAGAATTTTAAAGTTGAAGACAGAGAGAAGAGGTCGAGAAAAAAGAGAGAGTGTGAGAAAAAAACACACTGAAAGAGGAATAGAAAGATAGAGAAAAAGAAAAAAAGGGATCAAAAAAAAGCAAAACGTAGAATTTTAAAGTAGAAGAGAGAGAGAGATATATGTGAGCGATAGAAAAAAAGGGAGAAAGAGAGAAAAAAAAGCTCCAAAAAATGAATTTTAAAGTAGAAAAAAAAGTTTCAGAAAGAGAAACAGAAAAAGTGAGAGAGAAATAGAGAAAAAAAGGGAAAAACGTAGAATTTTAAAGTTGAAGAGAGAGAAGAGGTCGAGAAAAAAAGAGAGAGAGTGAGGAAGAAACACACTGAAAGAGGAATAGAGATAGAGAAAAAGAAAGAAAGGGATCTAAAAAAAAGCAAAACGTGGAATTTTAAAGTAGAAGAGAGAGAGAGAGAATGTGAACGATAGAAAAAAAGGGAGAAAGAGAAAAAAAGAGGATCTAAAAAAGGAATTTTAAAGTAGAAAAAAAAGTTTGAGAAAGAGACACAGAAAAAGTGAGAGAGAAATAGAAAAAAAAAGGGAAAAACGTAGAATTTTAAAGTTGAAGAGAGAGAGAAGAGGTCGAGAAAAAAAGTGAGAGAGTAAGAAAGAAAGATACTGAAAGAGAAATAGAGAGATAGGGAAAAAGAAAGAAAGGGATCTAAAAAAAAAGAAAAACGTGGAATTTTAAGGTAGAAGAGAGAGAGATAGAAAATGAGGGAGAAAGAGAAAGAGAGAGAGGTAAATAGACAAAGAAAAAAGGGATTTAAAAAAGAAAAACGTAGAATTTTTAAGTAGAAGGGAGTGAGAGAGAGATAGAAAAGATGGAGAAAGAAACACTCTGAGAAAAAAAAAAGTACAAGAGAGAGAGCGGTAGAAAAAGGGGATCGAAAAAAGAAAAAGTGAGAGAGAAATAGAGAGAGATAGAAATAAAGAAAAGAAAAACGTGGATTTTTAAAGTAGAAGACAGAGAAAAAGAAAAATAATGAAAATAAATAAATAAATAATAGCAACAAAAAAGGAAAGCCAAAGAAAAAAAACCTTCAAACAGTGTATTTTTTTTTGCAGGTTTGATGCACCTCCACGAAGCCATTCCCGGTAAATCCCCCACAGATCAATCAAAGCCACCTATCGCTCATCGTGATTTTAAAAGTAAAAACGTCCTCCTTAAAAGCAACATGACTGCATGTATAGCCGATTTTGGTCTTGCACTTGTCTTCGAATTTGGTAAATCATGTGGTGATACACATGGTCAAGTTGGTACACGTCGTTATATGGCCCCCGAAGTCCTCGAAGGTGCTATCGATTTTAATCCTGATGCATTTCAACACATCGATATGTACGCTTGTGGCTTGGTTTTATGGGAATTGGTGTCGCGTTGTACTGCCCAAGATGGTCCTATTGCCGATTATCGACTACCTTTTGAGGAGGAGGTCGGTCAACATCCCACACTTGAGGATATGCAAGAATCGGTAGTGCAGAGAAAAGTACGACCGGTGATACAGGAGCATTGGAAACAGCATCCGGTGGGTTTGAGACACTCGTTCGCTTCGTTTGTTTGTAAACTAGGGTTTTTTGTTGTTGTTGTTTAGGGATTGGCAGCAATGTGTGATACGATTGAAGAGTGTTGGGATCATGATGCTGAGGCGAGATTAAGTGCGAGTTGTGTCATGGAGAGAGTGATGTTGCAGAAGAGATATGGGCATGGTGGGTATGGTATGAGGATTGAAAATGAGAATTTGTTATCGCCGTTGAAGGAGAATAGCATGTAGGGAGGTGAGTGGTGAATTTATTATTTTTTTTGGGCCAATGCATGAAACAAATTTTTTTGTGCCAATTTGGGAAACAAATTTTTTTTGTTTATTTTTTGGCACTACGAGTCCTGTTTTTCCTTATTTTAATGCCAACAGCGGAAACAAATCAAAGAAAATTAATTTGTTACTTTTTTTTTCTTGATAAATAAAACACTAAAACCAATGTAAAAATTGACTTTCGAAATTATTTTTTTTTGGAAATTTGGAAAATAAATTTTTGTTTTTAAAAATTCGACTAGTTTTAAAAATTATTATTTTTTAGTGCCAATGTGTGAAAGAAATTTAGTTTTTTTGTGGGTCTATTATGATTTGTAAAAACTGTTTTTTATGCCAATTTAAGAAACAAATTTTTTATTTTAAAATTTCAATTGTTTGTATGTATCAAGAAAAATTGTATTATTTTAGAGAAAAAAAATTGGTTCCTCAGAATTTGACAAATTCAAAAATTATGATTTTTACTGTTTTTATGGGCAGTTTTTTAATGCCAACAGCGGAAACAAATCGAAAAAATGTTTTAGAAAAAATTTGCTTACATTAAAACTAACGCAAAAATTAACTTTTTGTGACAATTTTTTTGGAAAACTTTGTATTTTTTGCTAATTTGGGAAATAAATATTTGTTTAAAAAAAAATTCAATACTTAGTATCTAAGTTTCGACAAGTTTTAAATACTATCATTTTTTGGTGCCAATGCGTGAAACAAATTTAGTTTTTTGTGGTTTTATTACGTTTTGTAAAACTTTGGGTTTTTTTGCCAATTTGAGAAACAAATTTTTGTATATAAAAATTTGCAATGTTTATAGGAAGAAAAATTGTATTGTTGGAGAGAAAAAATTTGATTCCTCTGTAGGCAATAAAAATTTGACAATTTTAAAGACGATCATTTCTACTTTTTTTTGCGGGAAATTTTCAAAAAAAAAAAATTGGTTTCTTTGTTGGCACTTCAGAAATTCCATTTTCCCTACTTTTGTAATGTTTTCTTCCAAATTTATGAGTGTTTAGTGTCATCACGGAAAACAAATTAAAAAAATATTGTTTGCTAATTTATTGTTTTTTTGAAGAAAATACAGTTTTGTTTCTTCTTAATAAAGCATTGGAAAGAAGATTGAAAAAAATTTGATTACTTCATTGGCAATGAAAATACAAAAAGTAAACGAAATTTGATTTTTTGTGTCAATTTTTCGGGAATTTAATAGTTTTTTGCCAAGTAAAAAAAGAAAGAAAGAGAGAAAGAAATGGATAAAAAAACGCGTAATTTTAAAGACAAGATAGGAAAAGAAAAAAATGAGCGAGAAAGAAACACAGGGAAAGACAGACAGAAAAATAGAGAAGGGTTTAAAAAAAAAAGTGAAAATGTAATGTAGAAAAAACAGAAGAGAGGAGTGAGAGAGAAAGAGAGTAGGGAATACAGAAAGAGAGAGAGAAAGAAACAGTAAATAAGAGTCATTTTTGAATAAATAAGACAGAGAAGAGGGAGATAGAAACATAGTGAAAAAGAGACAGAGAAATAAAAAGATAAAGGAGTAAAAAATAAAGAAAGAGTTAAAAAAAGAAAATCGTAGAATTTCTACTAGAAAAGAAAGAGAACAAAAGAAAAGAAGAGGGACAGAGAGGGGTAGAAAGAGAAAGAAAAATACAGTTTTTTTTAAATAGATTCAAAAAAATTTGATTACATTATTGACAATGAAAACATTAAAATTGAAAATTAATTTCTTGTGACAGTTTTTTGGAAATTTAATATTTTTTACCAATTTGGGAAATAAATTTCTCGGGTGTAGTTTCTTCTTGGCATTTTCCCCCCCAATTCCTATTTTTCCTTCTATTCGTATTTAATGTCAACTGGGGAAACAAATTAAAAGTTCAAAAAAATTTGGTTACAGTGTTGGCAATGAAAAGCCGAAAAAAAAATTGTTTCCTCAGTTGGTGTCGAAAACTCAAATAGACTTTTTTTGGACATTTTTTTGCCTTTTTCCAGTTATCATCAGCAGTGGATAAAATCAGTACCTGCATTGCTAATAAAATCAGTACCTGGGCGTCGAGCAGCCTGTGCCGTGTCTTAGTTACCACACTTGCCTATCAGGAGAAGTATTTCATCGTTTTTTTTTTGTTTTTTTTTCTTCGTCTTCTTTCATCCAACAGCAGCAACAGTGTTCGTTGTTTTTTTTAACGATGATTTTTTTTCGTCACATTTCATACCAATGTGCCAATAGTGTGATTCGTGAGAATCTTTATAAGACTGGATTTTTGTTAATTTAAGTCGTGTGTGGTGTTCGGGACACTTAAACATAAATAAAAATAAAAAAGAACACAACAGAAATGACGAAAATGGACGTCGATAGGGTTTTTTCCTTTTTTTTTTCTCCTCCAATTCTTCATATTTTCAAGGGATAGGACATATCGAAATCGGTTTTTTCGGACGAATTCGTGCAATTAGATTTTTTTGTAATAAAAAGGAAAAAATAACCGATATATTTTTAATAATTGTGTGTCTTAGATGTTAGAAATGTACAGACGACAATTTGTTGGAAAAATATTTTTGAAATTGTTAAAACGAGAAAAAAATACTCAATTGTGACACCGGGATTTTATTTTTTGTGTGTTGGTATG